CAACAGAGTTTGAATGATACAATTTGGAAGAAGATTGAAAAGGTAGCACAACGTAAATTAGTTAATGAAATATTAGTTAATGAAATATTGGAGGCAGTTTCCATGGATGAGTCACACCAGTCATTCTGAATACAAAGCACATCAAGAGCCATCACTGTGTGCTGTCCCCCCATGTGCCTCCCTACCCCACAGAACAATTACATTCCCTTTGACAGGTATTAAATATTTACCTGCAGCACAGTAGGTGTCATCCAGGTAATCCTCTTGCTCACATGACCTCTGAACTTGTGGAAGTGGCTGCAGCTTTTCTGGGCAGTTTTAGAAAAAACTTTGAAACTCCCTTTAAGAGTTGCTGCTTCTCTCCTCTGCAGAGCTCCAGTTCCATTCTGTAGAACCCTACACCAAGAAGGAGCTCTCTGCTGTGACTTTCCCTGACATCATCCGCAACTACAAAGTGATGGCAGCTGAAAACATTCCTGAAAATCCACTGAGATTTCTGTACCCAGATATACCCAAAGACAATGCCTTTGGCAAATACTACTCCAGGCCTAAGGAGGGTGAGTGCTATTAAATAGCTGATCCCATTTATATTGTTCCTGAGGTACTTGGGCACTGTGCAATTCCTGTGGCATGGAAAGAAAGGAAGCAGTTGGCCTGAATTTCTTGGCAGTCTGTCCCATTCTGAGCTAAAAGGTCAGCAGAGGCACCTGAGCTTTATAGGTTAAGAAAAGGTCTGTTTTTAAAGAGGCACAACATGAGATCTAATCAGATCAAAACCTGAAAACCTAATTGTCACTGGCTCTCCAGTTCAGCTTTCGTGAGCCCATGAGCTGTTTCAGAAATGTAGGTGCCAACTAGCAGCTGGAACATGACTGGCTATGGAAGAGGGTTATTTTCCCCATTTTCTATAGGGGAAAAGGAAACAGGAAAATCTGACTAAAAAATTAAATAAATTAACTGTAGTGCTGTAAAATGATGGAGAGACTTGCACATTATCTGGGTCACAGGCTTTATTTTTGGTGCAATGAAGATGGCAATGTGAAGTAAACTTGCAGAAAAAAACACAAACCCACAAACTTGTTTTTTTTTCTCCTTGAAGCACCAGAGCCAATGGATTTGGATGGTCCCAAGGGAAACGGCTACATCAAGACTGAGTTAATCTCTGTGTCTGAAGTGTAAGTTTCCACAAAAATGCTGGAATTTTAAGAACTGATCATAAGTATTTAGCTGTAGTTCACGTCTCTTCCCAGTATCTAAGGTGTAGGTGCCCCTGCCAAATATTTCCTCTTTGAGGATCATTCATTCAGTGCTGTGTTTAAAACACCATTTCTAAATAAAAACCCCTAGAAACTTGCCAGTAGTTGTACTGACAAATGATTTCTTGAAAAGCAAGTTCTTAAAGACTTGTTGGACTTCCTTGTTTAGGATGTGCATCCCTGAGTAGTCCCAGTTCTCATTTAAAGCCATTTTGCTGGCTTTGCAAAGCCGAGTGCATTGCTCACAGACCTGATCTTCTTCACAAGGGGCCTCCTTAGTGGCCCTTGTAGCCTCAGAGCCAGACGTGGTAGCCCAACTGCGCCTCATTTCTTTAGTGAAAGTTTATCCCTGCTCTTCTCCATTAGCCACCCTTCCAGGCTTCAGTCTCCAGAAAACCTGCTCCCCATGTCCCCTGAGGAGTTTGATGAGGTGTCTCGGATGGTGGGTCCAGCAGAGATTGATACTGTGGTATGTATCAACAGCCAGCTGTTTGCAGGGTGCTTCTCGCCTTTTTTTTCCCTCCAGATGTACCTCAGACACTTAACACAAGTGCACACTTCAGAACACAACTCTTCACACATGTAGGGAAAGCTGGGGATCCAGAGTAGGACTGGGATTGCCATCAGTTGTTCTTTCCACCTGTCTGTGGGGATGGAGGTGAAGAGCAGGAGAGTAAAGCTTCCTGTGTGTACCTTGCACATGAAGGGAAGATGGGAAGGGAGGAAGGAGCGTCGCTGTAGTCTTTCCTGTGGGCTCTGGGTGGGGAGGGCCACTAGAGCAGGAGTGCAGTTTGGAAGGGCTGCTCTGGCAGCGCTGCCAAGATTCTCCCTGTTAACAGAGCAGTGTTGTCCTTGGAGGGTGTGCTTCAGAAAAAAAAATCAAAATTAAACTTCGGGATTCCCCTCCTCCCACCTCGCTGGGTAGCTGGATCCTAAGGTGTGAGTCTGGTTTTATTTAGGGAGAACATGGTCATAGCTCTGGTTAGCAAAGACTTGAGTATTAGGGCTTACTTGGCTTGTTTGATGGACATTTCCTTTTCTTGTTGCAGATGTGCACACATATTCAGCTCTGAGCTTTGGCTGTGCTTTTTACTGCGTCATTAACGCGGCTGATTCGCTTACGTGTCCTGCACTGCAGTCCATGCCTTGGTGACACACTTCACTGCCATTCTTTGGTTTCTCAACATGAAGGTCCAGTAGCAATTTTTAGCTAATGGAAATATCAACAATAGCAGTCTCAGCAGCCTCCTCATGTGCTCTTCTTTGTTTAGTTAGCAAGATACCGTGCCACAGTGGAGAAAGAGAGGAGGATTAGGAATGTGAGGTCCTCAGAGAGAACTGATAGGAGAAACATGCATTCATGTTTAAAACAGTTGGCTGTACACAGAAGGCTTCAAAGGAAAGCTGGTTCTTCTGCAGAGGTTCTGCTCAGAAAGCTTGTGCCTTCTGTGTAACTACTTCTGCAGAACTTCCCTAGCTTTGGATTTTCATCTGCGTCACTGAAAGGAAAAGGGAAACACTCTACAGATATGTGCCACACCAAATGCATATGCTGCTGAAGTTTGCTGTGGTTTTAGCTTTTCTAGGCATGGCATATTCAGAGAGCAAAAAATGTTACCTGCATTTCGTGTTTTTTTTGGTTTTGTAAGGCATAACCTCATGTAGAATGGTTAGCACAATCCTTCACATGAAGAGCATTTCTTAGGACACCACCTTAAAGCTGCATTGGCACATGATGAGCTTGCAACTCAAGGTGTACAATCAAAACTAAAGCTTCTGCAGACTGCAGCCATGTTGTCTAGCAGAGTATCAGACAAAATGAGAACCTACTCTTTAAAAGAGTGCAGAAAGGGTTGAAGTATGTTTTTAGTCACTGTGTTTAGCCTACCAAGGTGAGGACTTGGTCACTCCTATTTTTTACAGTAATACACGCCCCATTTAGTTTATAACAGGTGGACTGGAACTCATTTTTCTCATGCATTATGAACCAGGGCATTTATTTAACTGTTGATTTGAATAGCTGTAAGATCCTACAGGCTTTCATAATGAAGTGGGTTTGCAATTAGGGATGAGGCACAGGAAAGTGAGGGAGTTAAATTTATACAGAATAACAGCTGCAGGATATGCAGTTTGTGGTACTTAAAGGATGAACTTGTGTTTCCACCAGAGGAGGAACAGGTTTGTTCCTCAGCACGTTTGAAGATAATTAACAACTCACAGTTGAGAGGCAAGGCTGTCTCGGGCAGCTGGTCTCTGCACCAGGGGTTACCTATTAGTGCAGACTGCTAATTAGCACACAGAGGAACAGAGGGACTGCAGAGCCCTCGTGCTGGATCCTACCGGTTCAGGTGGAACAGCAACAGGAACAGGGCAGCTGGCTGGAGCAGGGGGGCAGACAAGGTGACCTCCAACTTCAGCCTCAGCCCAGCTGTGACTCAGGTGCTACTGCAGCCTCTTCCCCCACTGCTGTCTATTCTATTCCCATCACCTGGGAGAACAGCAGCAGCCCATGGGACTCACAGAGACTGCAGAGCTGCTTCTCTAGATTCAGAGAAAAATTAAAGGACCTATATGTCTTTAAATGAAAAGCATTGCCAAACTGACTTATTTTTGGTGCTCTGGGTTACTGAGGTTATCTAACAGTGCTACAGGATATCACAACTGGTGACTTAATGCTTTTATCTCATTGTAAGTAGCTGAATGTGTATCTTTATTGTCAATACAAAAAGTATTTCTTTCTTGAGCTACAACACCTTGTACTCATGTTCCATATGCAGAAGTTTGTCTTCATTACTTTTATATTTCAGTTTTATCAACCAGAGTGAAATGTTCTTCTGAGATTTAAAGCAGCAGCCTTATTCATGCATTGGTCTTTCCAGTAGTTCTAAAAGTAGTGATTTTCCACAATGGAATATTCTTTTGCCATTTATAAAAAGACGGAACTGTCAGTTGACATTTTTGTCCTATCTCTTGTTTGTTGGCTACTTTTATTATAAAGATGATGTGTTTGCCAGTAGTTTACTACTCTGTATCTCATTTTAAACTTGCTTGTGTAACTAGAGAGTTAAAGCTCTGAAGCCTAAGGCTGTATCCATGCTCTTAATTCTCTGCATTGTAGCAGGTCAGTCTGCTCTGGAGCACTTAGAAGGTGGCTGTTAACTTTTTTTAATTATTCATTGTATCACTTCACTGATTTGTTTTCTTCCCCACCCAAAGTTCAATAAACTGAACTTGAATTTCAAATTTAAGTCATCAGTAGGATAACTGATGTATAGCTAAACTTTGTGAGCTACCAAGCTGGACCACTGCTGCATCATTTTTCTCTGGGGTATTAAGTGACATGATCCCTTGTCTCATGCTTGTTGGGCTTTTATATGAACAGCCAGAAGAATAATAAAGGAAAGAAACTGTTGGTGTGATAAAGGATAGCAGGAGTGAAGAGTAGGCAAGAGAAATCCAGAGCTGTTAGAAAGTACCTGGACAATCCACTTAAGAATTCCCAGCATTAACAAAAAGCAACCAGTAAAGGAATGCAGCTCTGGAAGTGTAGGTTTCAAAATAAGTAACAACATCAACAAAAACAATCAGAAAAAAGCTAGATTATATAAATTAATTCTGATTTCCTGTAAGCTTTGCACAATGCAAAAGACCAGAGAAGGTTCTCCTGGACAGCCTTCTCCATGACTGAAGACTTATTTCAATGGCAGCTGCATAGATAACCAATAAAACCAACCACCACCATCATCGTCTTGGTATTTCCATTTATTATGCTGTAAAAAGCAACACTATCTGGAATTTATTTCTTAAAATAAATAACTTTCATTTTCAGAACCAGTACAGCTCAAGTTTAGATTCATTTCATGGGAAACCGCTAGAAATACATTCATCACTGTCTAGTCCCCACAATACAGAATCTAAAGTCAAGATCAGCCCAGTCAGTTACAATGACCAGAAGTACACTGCCAGTAAGTATAGTCACGGATAGTCCAGCTCTGAAGCAAAAAAATCTGGTACAATACAGTTTGTTCACAAAGATAGGCTAATTAATGCTAAGACTACCACAAGATTTCTGAGTACAAAGCATTAAGTTAGCTTAACAACTTTTTAGGTTGTGATACAGAAGAAACATATATGACATAAAAACAAAGGAGTGGGGGAATCCTCTTTGGAGCATAAGGAAGTCAGCGTTGGATAAGATAACCAAAAGCTATTTACTGTAAAGTCTACATGTCGGTGTCATGAATGATAAACAGCCAAACCACTGTACTGCATATATTTATAGTTATAAATAACGCCATGTCTAAGTAGCTGCATCGCTGAATTGGACATTACAAAGTAATCCATCTTCTCACAATGAGAAAATACTAAAACTAACCAGCAAAAATGCACTGAAGCTAAAGACTGGCTAAAAGCACGCGGTATGAAAGCGTTAACTTTAGGGACAGCTGTGATCTTCAATGTCAACCCAGTTAAAATCCTTTTGGTTTTGGTTTGTTTATATATGCATACTATATAATATACCTATCTTTTAAAAATGCCAGTTTGAAAAATGCAATGTCAGTTAAATAAAGCTAAATCAGGTATTTTTCTGAGAAGCTACAGGATGTGTTTTAATAGGGGAAAAAAATATGGAAGAAGTCAGATTAGCACAGAAATTCAGAATACTAAAGTAGAATCCATCTGAAAGTATTCCTTTACACTACAGCCAACAGATCTGTTACCAGAGAAAACATGTTGGAATTTAGTTCAGGGTGCAGCAGAGAAGAGGCCTTGTGCTACTCAGTGACCAATGTGGCTCAACAAAGAGCTGGAGGCTCGGTCTTGGTTAGAATTGAGGTGGTGGTGACACAGGATGTGAAAAGAAGGGGCTAAAAGCCTTCAGAAAAATAGCTGATCTTCACAAAAAAAAAAACCAAACCCCCCCCCCCCAAAAAAAACCAAGCCAAAAAAAACAACCAGCTTAAGAACAGTTAAGATTCTTGAGAAAAAGTGTTTGATAACCATGCCAGCCAGCTTCGAAATGCTATTTCAGGGCTTTAGACTTTCAGACTCTTCCAAGATTTCATCATCATGAAGACAGTCACTATTTGTGATGAGTACCAAGCACTTTTCCATGTGATTTGTCCTCCTGCAGGGAGGCAGTATGGCATATCAACAAGAAACTGTACAGGAACTAGAAAGGTTCTGTTCTCAACTATACTGACCTGCTGGGTTGCTCTGGAGAAGTTATTTCTCTCTAAGCCTTAGTGTACCCATTGCTAAAGGAGGATAATGTGGTTCAGATCATCTCTGTAAAGTGCTTGGGCCATTCTGGAAAGAATTTGGGCATTATTCAGGAGGATTTTGGTGCCAAAACACAGAAAGTTTGAACTTTGAGATCTAATGACTTGTACACTATGTGTTAGGATAAAAACCACCATATACACAATTCTCAAGCACAATCTCCTTTTCTGTGTGCTAAATGATTCTTGCCTAAAATTCTTGTGCTAAAATTCTTGCCTATGTCCAACAACTCTGGTGTTTTGCTAATTTCTTAAGTGACTGCTCACTTATGAGGTTTTATGCCACAGTACTGGCAGAAGCAATTGCACATGGGACAGGGAGCTGTGGGAACATTGTACTTCTGCAAACAACAAATATCTGCATCTACATTTCCCATAACAGGGCACGTGCCACGCTGGCTCCAATGGCAAGACATTAAATGCCACCACAAAAGGCATTTACCTACTTGTGCTCCTGGTGCTGAATTCCTGTTCTGCACCAGCAGAATCCCACTGATGCAGTATCCTGCTCCCTGGTTGATGGCAGTGCAAGAAGAGAACATACCCCAAAACCTGGCTTATCTCCTGCTCTGCCCATGTTTTGATTGGCTCTATGCTCCTTAAAGCTGTTTCACTCCATCCGTGTTCCTTATAACAAGCCTAAATGAGTTCAGAGTTACATGTAGTATTTGGTTTGGTTCTCTGCCTTTCCTGTGCTTCCATTCCCCTTGCTGGCTCCTGGTGCATCCACCCAGGACGCACCTGCCAGCCCCAGTGGGGGTTTGCAGCTTGCCAAGGCTTGCTGTAGTGCAAACAGACCTGCAAGGAACACCTGCACCCACTTTCCCCTGTCACAGGGAAGTACTTTAGCAGCTGAACATGGAGAGAGGAGGGAGGCAAGACAGAGGGAACTGAAAGAAACACTTCCAAACAAAAACCCCACTCCACACTGGTGTTACAAGTCACGTTCCCCTACGCCATTTGGTCAAACAAACCTTTAAACACATTCCCTGACAAGACTATCTCTAAGAACAAGCCTAGACCATTGACAATTGTCACCTATATACTCTGTGATATTTATATTATGTAAACAAGGTTGTGTGGAAATATTTTTTTTCCAAAAGATAAGTGCAGATCCTTTCTTAACACACCCAGCCTAAATCTACATCAGCATCTTCAGCTTTCAAAAAAACCTCACTGACGCTCATACCTGACAGTACTCTGGCTCACCTTGGCCATACTGAAAACAGAGGGCTAGAGAAACAAAAATTCAGCAGAAAAATTCCTGACCACAGACTAGAGTTCACACAGAACACAAAAATAAATTAAGTAGTGCACAGTAAAGCCAACAACAGCTAAATATTTTTATACATCAATTATATGCAGCATGAGGTAATATTGCTCACATTATGGAGGGAGATTCTTAGTTGGTTTTGTTTCTTTTGAAGAGATTGGATTTGTCCTGTGCGTATAGAAACTCCTGTAACGTAACACTGAAGTAACAGAGACTTCTGTAAAATATATACCACTATCAGATAGAAACACACACGCTCTTCATTACTTATGTATACCACAATTAAATAGTAAGTGATTTGATTCTTAGGATCTAGCTGAAGATGATTATAGTAAGCCATCCAGATTTTTATGAACCGTTCGGTTCTCCTTCCCGTTGTTGGAATCCTCTGATGGCGTGTACTGGACCTGATACTCTTGAAGAATTTTAAAAACGTCATGGTGTCCGAAATGTAAAGCTTCATCCATAGGAGTGTTATTCCACCTAGGAGAAACAGCACAGTATTTTTAAGACCAGCATGTGAAGCACAGAGCCGAAAGCACCAAAAATTTTGTTCTTTACATACTCTGTTGAAAGTTCAGCACACAGACCACACTCAGTTCAGTAACTATGGAATTACTTCATTAAGCTGAGCATAACCTTTTAAATAACTGTTTTAGAGCTGGGTTTTTTTATTCTTGCTTGCTCTGCAGAATCTACAAAAAAGGACCCAGCTCCTTTTGCTTCAGTGGACTGGATCAATACATTTCACTTTCATTTGACAGACACCTCTCCTCACTCAGGGAGTAGGGAGATGCTATTGGAGCATCTTTCCTCCAAACCAGCAATAAAACCACTCACCTGTCTTTGGGGAAGGGATTCACTTTGCATGCTTCCAGTAGAAACTTAACAACATCCACATGTCCTATAAGAAAAGCAGGTTTGTGAGTGTATGTACTTACACACACCCATGTATACACAGACAAAAGCAGGTATGCACAGAGAGAGCAAAGATACTCTAAAGCAAGCTGACCGCCTCCCACTGCCAGAGAGAGCAAATGACATGTGAGGAGACATTACCTTCTGCAGCTGCCACGTGGAGGGCTGTCCGTGAGTCATAGTCTCTTTGCTCCATATCCATTCCTGACAGAGCAAATCTTAAAAGAAAGAAAGATTACAGAGAAAAGTCTTACATAATTGAAGCAAGTTACAAAACCAGCATGGAACAATATCCCTCTGCTGAGGGTACCTTTTTGGTGGTTAGGTTTGAGTCTTTTGTTGGGTTTTGGGTGAACATATTCAATCTCTAGCTCATGCAGCTCAATGTTCCCCAACACAGAAGCAGTGCATGTGCATGTTCATAAATAAACAACAACAGCAGGAACCAAACAAGCAGCATTCCTATTCCCAGACCCCTGCTGATTTTTACCTCCGGAGTGCAGACACATCCCCTGTGTAGGCAGCAAACAGCAGATTTATCACAGACTTCACCTATAAAGAGAGATGAAGTCCAGTTTATTGATCTTCTTTCCTCAGAAAGGAAACCCAGAAAAGCCCAGAGTGGCCACCTGGTTCACTGCTTATGAAACTTGCTAATTGTATCCCCTTGCTTGGCCACATTTTGCAGTACAGCATAAAACACTGGAATAATTCGTTCCAGCTTGCTTCGCTACCAGTACTGTAAGGTCTGTCTTTCCAAGGCTGAAGTCATTAAAGGCAGTAAAAGAACTATAAAACATGCATTTCTGCCGTACTGTGGTAAAAAACATGAGCTTGCTGTATGGACAAACCGTATTTCTCTCTTTGATTGCCTAATGACACCAAGTATTGAATTGCACAGAGAGTATCACTTTAACAATTCATAAAACTGTGAACTCCTCATAAGACTAACTCATTCTGGAAAAGTAAGATTTTTTTATTATTATTATTAACTGCAAAGATTCCTAGTGCCAGGAGAAATCTGTGTTAGCAGAAGAGAAGAAACAATACTGTCAGGCTACATCAACCTTGCCCCCTGCACATTTTTAATGTATCCTGGCTATAACAACTCTGCAAGTTTTAACAAGAGCCAAAAATGACAAGCTACATGGTTTCAAGTATGCCACATCAGTTTCTTTCATGAACTGATACAGCCACTTCTAGGCACTGTTTCACAGTACTTTCCAGTAAAATTTCTAAATGCTGCTTTGCTTTTTGAGTCTACAAAGCTCTGCCGCTGCCACCAGCCAAGAAACAGAGATAAAGGAGGAAACTGATGCTGCATTGACCTTCTACAACAAGGAGGAGAAACAAACAAAACAAAAAATCCCCACCCACAAGCAAGTCTCCCACAGATTCCTGCAAGAACACTGGCATATTTTCACAAGGCCACAGATGAGCCAACATCTGTGCCTCTTATAAACCGCACTTGTGGAATTGCTTGTTTTTTACACCTCAAATATGCACTGATGCAAAGAGAGACTGAGCTATAAGGAGAAGGAGGCGCAAAGGCCAGGATGGAAATACAAAGGGGACACAGAGCCACCCTCACTCCAGTACCCACAAACTACTGTAGCTCCTTTTCAACTTGCATTATAAGCCCACCCAACCCACAGGCAGCCCCCCCAGCTGCCCCATGGCTGGGCTTGCCTCCTCTCCAGCCCCAGCTCAGCATTGGGGTTGCAGGACCGCGGGAATGAGCCGCTGCCCCACAGGGCTACGGAGTCTCCACCTTCCTGGGGTGATCTTGTAGCTGACACAGATGCAGACTTGCACCAGCGAGTCCACCTCAGGGCACTCAACCACACTTTTGCTGGGCTCTTCATAGCAAACAGCACAGCCACACCAAAGTATCAAAACCTCCCAACAGAGTGCACATCTTTTACAGACACTGGGCTGCAAACTGTATTTAAACACAGGTGTGAAAGGGCAATTTGGTTTGATAATCTCTACATTTCATCAAGATGATTCAGGCATTTTCCTCAGGGAGGGAGATGATGAGTGCTGCTCTGCTGCTGGGGCCCCATGGGCAGACCAGGTTGGCTGCACTCCCATGTTTCAGGTCCTGAAGGTGCTGAATACTCTCCCTTTTCAGGATCTAGGATGACCAAAGGACACTCTTGTCTTTCACAAAAACCATTTCAGAGGTAACTGACCATTTTGGCTGGGCTTCTTGATGTTTCTGGGAAATGCAAATGCATAATACAGTAATAAAATAAAAATAACACACATTCCATTTTTAAAAAAACCTTCCAAGTGCAGCCAGGGCCCAGAATCCCTCTGGATTCAGCTGAACATTTTGCTAAGAAGCCATTTTCTATAATAATGTGACAACATGTAATTTGGAGATTTCTGAGGCTTTCTAACACAATCATTTTAGGCCAAGTCTCTCAGCAATCTGGGAGAGGTTAAAGCTGCTCCTTTTTTAAGATACAGCATGTAAAATCCAAAGCTGCATTATTATAAATCTGAAGTTCTTAATAGATCAAAATAAAGAAGTACAAATCCAGGCACATAGAAGAAAATATCTGCTTGTTTAGTTCAGAAGAAGTAAATTTGAGGGGAAACATGACTGCTCTCTGTACAACAGTAATAGGATACAAAAAGCAGAATTGACCTTGACCCCATAACTGAACCCTACTCTATTTGCAGCAGAGTCCACGCCAAAAAATTAACAAATTTAATGAGGTGAAAATTTGTTAATGAACAAATGAAATTCTTCAAAAGGCATCCATAAACAACAGAAGTTTTATTGAGTTCACCTAAAAAAAAGTTAACTCAATAAAATTTAGAAATCTACAGACACAAAATACATTTTGAATTCAAAGTAAGAATATACCACCTCCATGAGCATCTTAAGGACCTTTCCTTAGTTTCCAAGAGAATATTAATCCAAGAAACATATATACTAAATCATCCTGTATGAGGCTATCATTTACATTGAGAACAGGTTACTATGTGAACAGTACTTGCTGCCAGAAGCTGTGCATCTGTGCAGAATCTCACTTAAGCTGCCATAAAGTCAAGTACAAATTCTTTACCCCCAAACTCGCAGTGTACTAGCCTGAAATAAGAGGTCCATTGCAAGATAATCAAGAGCCAAAATAAACTCTAAAGTGGGAGGGGCAAACATAAGATTTTTGGGGGTTAACTGTAGTTAAGTAGGAGAGTAAAAAAAAAAACAAACAACAAAACAAAACAGTGAAGATGACAGATGAGCTGTGTCCATTCAAACTAAGTAGGGCAAAAGGCAACTAATTTAAGTGTTTAGAGAGACTGTCAGTGAGTTTCTCACCAAGTGGTTCACAATCCTCACAATCCACATTCAGTGCTGGTGTTTCTGTAACTGCACTGCTGAATACCATTTTTTCTACTGTTTAGAAAGAGAAAGTTTACTACCTTCAACCCAGCAGCACCTTTTCCTACTAATTCTCTAACTATGAAAATTTAATAGAAGGAGAAGGGGTGGAGTCCCTCTGCTATATATGGGCTGGCTCACACATTACCATATAGCCATATGGCTGGATCAAACCCACAGGGGAAACTGTTCCACCTTTTGTCAAGTGGGAGAGAAAACTCTGCACTGAAGCAGAGGAAGCTTTCTTCGGCAGCTTTCTTCTCATCGTGCCATCAGTACAGAGCACTGCTCACTCAACTACCACCAAACCCTCTTTGTACAACACTCTTTCCTCAGTGCTGGTGGATACAATGCTGGTCATCCAGGCAGTGAAACCAGCACGGAAAGGTTCCTTGGGAATACTTGTGTCATTCAATGCTAAAGATCAGAAACACACCTCACTTTTTCACCTTCAGGTTAGTAGGTGTTAGAGCTCTTGGACTCAGCAGGATGAAGCTATGGAGGATTGAAGTCCTGCTTCACATTGAAGGTGACCAAATGATCCCAACCTCCAGAGGTCCTTTCCAACCTAACAGTCCTGCAAGTCCATGGGTGAGGACAGGCGCAGCACAAGAAAGAAAAATCAAGATTGTTGTTGCTCAAGAACTACACTGAGGCCAAGTTAAAGGAAGGAAACACCCAGAGTTCAGAGCGGCGGGAAGTCACACTGCTGCTGCAGGCACTTCAGATCAACACAGGGGACCAAAAGACAAAAAAAGAAAAAGCACCAACCCAAAACCCCCAAAACACAAACGGAGTGTTCTATGGCACTGAAAGCTGCAAAGGGAAACTCTGTGTTAGCGTGACTCCTAGCCCAAAGCTTCATATCACAGTTATTTGAAATATCCCCTAAGCCTGGATATGTTAAAAGTTTCAAAAAAGTCTCCTTCAAGCAGTGCTCAGACGTGAACTGACCACACAGGAACAGAAGAGCACAAGGGCTGCTGCCTCTGCCTTTCAGGGAGCACATGCCCAATGCACAGCAAGTGCATGGCTGTCCCATTTCTCTGCAAGCACATTGTCCAAGGACTGGGGCAAGACATAGGAGTTTTTCTTTTGTTTTTCAATTTCTCAGTGTACCAACTTGAAAAACCTAATTAAAAAAAAAAAAGTTTAACTTCAGCGTTAATATGTTGAAGTCACTTACTGCAAGTGAAATTTCAACACATCTACCTGATCTGAGAGGCTTGGCTGGAACATGAAAATTGCCTTGGTGGAGTATTTGTAACAGAACAGTCTTGCCTACTTGAGCTGCACACCCAAATCCAGACTTATTTAAATGGTCTTACGATGGCTAATGGCAAATGACTGCGCAAGACTGAGATGGAATCACTTTTCTCTACACAGACTGAGTTTAGAAGATTTTATTTTTTAGCGAAGAAAAGTGTGTCTATCACTGCCTGGCTCTAATACCATCAACAGCAGACCACTCCAAACACTTCACAGAGAGAACTCTGTCATCATTTTTGGCACTAAGATGGGGAATCGAGGCCCAGAGATGAAAATTAACAGCTACAGTCCCATGACAGGAGAGTGACCTGACACCTTCTGCCCACTGGCTCTCACGCTTCAGCAGTTTTATATTAATATAAAACAACCAAACCTCAAACCCAAGCAGCTGAGTGCACCAGCCCTGTGCTCTGTCCCTGCCTGTGTGTCCCCATCACTACAGGGCTCTGTCCCTGTCTGCTATTGCTGCAATACCTCCAGCATGGCAGGGAGAGCCTCTGCTCTGCACTGCGCTTGGGTCAGGAGAGAAAAGCCAAACAGCTGTGCACGCAAGAAAAACAAATCCTTTAGAAAAAATTAATTTAGCTCAAAGCTGGATTAATTCCATGAGAAGCTCTTAGCTAAAAAGGTCACTGAATCTGGATTTTAATTTCCTACTATGTCCTGCTTCCTGAGAACCCCTCCCTCCAATTTCTTTGAAAACATAACAGAATTTGCATTCTAAAAAAAAAATATAACTTACAGCTTTACTGTTTCTCCAGGTGGCTGAGCAATACAATCAAGCCCAACAGTTTATAACAGTGCTGCTCAAGGCAATACAAACAAGGATAAATAAACGACCCCCCCTAAACTTTCCAGTGCTCTTTCCATGATATTTAGGGGTGAC